CTCAGCTGTGCCGGTCACGTGCCAGCAGCCGCTCGGCGATGGAGAAGCTGCAAGTCAGGTTCGAGCCGAGTTCACCCCGTATCTCTACAGAGGACGAGCAAATCATCTCCACATGGGCAAAGGGAGAGTGTGGAGGAGAGGGGGAAGGCTGCCAGCGCAAGGCTGCGGTTCAGATCCCTCTTGACAGCTCCCCAGCAGCCCCCACATCGCCTGTCATTCCACAAAACAAACTTCAAAGTAAACAAGGCGCCCAGGACCCGGCCATTGCAGCCACTCCATCATCGTTCAGGAGTATTTTTCCTTCCTCCCCCCCCCACCTCCTCCTCGGCCGTTGCATTTACGCGAGCTGCCCGGAGCTGGATTTACAGGGCAGGTGCCTGAGCGAAGCGCAGGAGAGCTGGCTGGGCCCCAGGCGAAAGGGGAAGAGGAGAGCTTCACAAAAGCCTTCAGACCGTGGTTTTATATGATAGGGACTGCAGAACAACATCCATCTTCGGGCTTAACATTTCATCTCTAGATCAACAGTCCGTTCCTTCCCCCACGTTCAGCTGCAGCTGCTGGCTTATCTCTCCATTAAAGCATTTTCCTCTTATTGCGCAGTTTCACATGAGGAGGAATAAATGCCAGATGGGTCTCCCCTCCAGGTCACCGCGCTGCGAGCCCCGGTCTACGCCGCAGCCCGGGGCGACGCTGGATTCTGCGGGCGGGGGATTCATCGCTGGCCAAAACCACGAACTTCGAAAAGTCAAGGCCAGGAATGAATACTCTGGGGGGGACAAGATTTCCAAACAGGAGGACTGAGAGTTTGCCTCCCTGGAAATTCCCATGCTGGAAGCGCGAAGGTGCCGAGCGTAGACGCCTTCAGAAGTGCCCGAACCACCAACTTTCAAAAGCACTTAAGGAGCTGGAGACCCTGAGGGGTGTTTCTGAAACCGGCCGCGACGCTTTGGAGCGCAGAAGCGGGACGGAGCGGACCGTGCCGGGGTCCTCAGCCCTGCTGCTGACGCCGGATGCGGCCACAGTGCTCGGGGGAAAATGGCACGGCCGCACCGTCCTGCCCAAAAATCGAGAGCGGAAAAAGCGGTGTTGGAGGCTGCCACGGGGAAATGGCGTCGTTGGCCTCGGGTCAGGCACCCGGCTGCCCGGAGGAGGAGACGATGCTCCTTGCAGACCACTTTTTCAAACACGTTTTTATCTGGTTGCTCCTAACCACAGCGGTCAAACCCGCTCCAGCGCCTGTCTACCTGCACAGCAGCCAAAGCCAAGACCTCATGAAGGTCCACCTCCTTCTCTTCGGAGCGTCCCGGGACCCTCACCCTTTGCCGGGGCGGTGTGGGTGCTCACGCAGCCTGTCCTTGCTTTCCACGTCAAGCTGTGGCTGTGCCTGCCCGGTTCCTTGTCCCTGCCTCTCCCAGCCACCCTGGGGAAGTGGGCAAGCCCCGGTATTTTTATTACCATTCCCATCGCTGCCAAGCGCTTGCGTCAGCGGCCGGGAGGAGGCTGCGCTCCCTCTTATGAAGCCCAGGGAAGGGAAGATAAGATTGGACCATAAAGTCTTTAGAGGATGCTGCCAAACTTCAGGGAATTGATGGAGCGTCTTCCCAGCGGCAGCATCCTTGGATGTCTGTGTGCCACCAGCTCTTCCCAGCTGCACCAGCTGCAGGAGGTGACAACCAGACACGGCTTGGTGCTCACAACCAGACATGGGCTTGGAGGTGGCAACCAGACATGGGCTTGGAGGTCACAACCAGACATGGGCTTGAGGTGACAACCAGACACAGGCTTGGAGCTCACAACCAGAGACGGACTTGGAGCTCACAACCAGACATGGACTTGGAGCTCACAACTAGACATGAGCTTGGAGGTGACAACTAAACACGGGCTTGGAGCTCACAACCAGACACGGGCTTGGAAGTCACAACCAAACATGGGCTTGGAGGTCCCAACCAGACACGGGCTTGGAGCTCACAACCAAACAAGGGCTTGGAGGTCCCAACCAGACACAGGCTTTCTGGGCAGCAGCACCATTTCCCCCCCTGATATTTCAGTGGCAGTCTCAGCACGGGGAAGATGAGCCGGGAGGGATCAATTTGTGCTGTGCCCACGGGAGATGCCTATTCGATAGAGGAGGAGAACCGAGGAAGCATCACCGTCAGCACGAGCCACCAACCGAGCCCAGCCCATCCCCTCGGTGCCTGGCACCGTGGGGTTGATGGCATTGCTGCGGTGACAAGCAGCGCCGTCAGGGAGCGGCTGAGCTCCGAGGAGCTCCCTGTCCCAAGCCTTTCAAAGTCCTGCTTGGAGGAGCGGATCCTGCACTCCCTCCGGGCTCTTCCAGCTTATGTCTTGTTCCTGAGGTGCTGAAGGAAAGGGGGTGGCCAGTGGGACGGGCTCTCAGAGCCACGGATCAGAACTTAGGGGATGGGAATGGCTTGGTGTGCCACACAACCCCCCCAAAAAATGCCATCTGGGGCTCGTGGTGGCTGCCGGGGAAGGCAGAACTGGGGACACGACATCCTCAGAGCTCAGCCCCTTTCCCTGCCCTCCCGAACTCATTTTTGCTCTGTTGCAAAATGCTTCCAGGCTGCGAAAGATGTGGGTGCACGAGCAGGCTCCCCGATGCCCCGTGGCCGAGGAAATCACCGGCGTTTGGAGGAGAGCGAAGGGGGAAGGCTCCGGTTTGCAATCGGAGGGGGTCAGGGTGAAGGGGAAAGGATTTACCTGTGGCCACAGAGCCAGGCAGTGGCAGAGGGAGGGGATTTTCCACCCCGTGCTCACCTCCCGACGGTGTGAGAAAAGCCAACAGAAGCCCCCGAGTTGCTTCGTTAACAGAAGTGCTTTTATGACCCCTAAAGGCAAAAAACCCTTCCCTGCTGTAGTGCTGGGACCGGGTGCGGCCACGCCGCCGGCTCGGGGGGTG